GTATTTAAAACCAATCATAATTACGTCTTTGAATGGTCAAAACCTATTATGTATTTTTTGGAAGTCCTTTCCATCAGATATGAATAAAATTTTGAAAAGAATAACAGGCAGACATTTCAGACTCCAAATGTGCAGAGTCTGGAAGAGGCTTTCAGTTGCAATTGCAGCAGAAGGAGGTTCTACAAAGCAGCAGTGGCTTATTATTAGCTTTGATGTCAACTGCACTGTTATATCCTCATTTGTATGTTGAGTGTGTGACAAATGCGTAAACACTAAGATACAAAATCAATTAATCTGGGGCTGGAAACAAATGTGTGTAATTCTTTTTAGATTTTTTATTTTCTAAAAAAAAAAAATAATAAATCAAAAATGAAGACCACAGATTATTTTCCCTCCAATTTCCAAGTATGCATTGCAAATCACTGTAGAGTTCACAGTAAGTGTCATAAAAAAATACTATCATCATGACTGGGGCTGTGTTCATTAAATCCTAAGCCTTCAAAACAAACACAATTGCCTCACATTAACCTTCAAAGAGGAGCACTAATAAAGATAAGGAAGACTCAACATGCTAATTAAATCTAAACCATGATCTACAGCTTCTTTGATGCTCCTCCCTTTGACTGAAATGCTTCCAGTATGACGGGACGGGAATCATTTAGCTAAACAAACTGAACAACACAAGTAACAGTATGTGATTCTCCTCGCAGTATGGAAGCCATTAGTGGTTGGTGTAATCTTTATAACTGGGAGCTCCGAGTTGAGATGGATTTCAGGGCGTGGGAATAACTAAATAGTTGTTTTATAAGAATTAGTGGAGACTTTATACTTTGAAATGTATTGTGTGCCCTCAACCACAGTAGAGGCATTTTTAATATGTTCCAATGAACTATCTAATAATGCAAAATTGTTTGCTATGTCATTTTAATCTTTCCTATTTTCATGTCCCTATTTAAATAGTTTGTCTCGGCAGTTTTTTGCATAATCGATGTTAAAAAAAAGGCTCCTATTAAATACCTTTAGAAACTTTTTTTACATAATAAATATTGCAAAACTTAAAAGCACAAATGCTAATAATAGATCTGCTTCTCTAAAATACGGAGTCTCTATTTTAATAATTAACCCGTGTGCTTAATGGCAGTTAAATGTCAGAAGGTCCCATGTGAAACACACAAATTCAAATTGGTTTTAAATTTCTTTTCTGAAGAAAAGAATTGAACTACTGCGTTATAGATGGCCACTTCTATGTCCAACGAAGGGGAAGCACTTTTCTGCTTTAATGACACTCAGGCAGTGAAGAGTGGAATTTGTTATAAGAGGAACTTAAAACTTTTTTTCTCTTCTTTCATTTTCCAGATTGGGTCTTGGCTTTAACCATATCCGCAATATAGAGAATGGCAGCCTTTCATTTTTGCCCATGCTGAGGGAGCTGCATCTGGACAACAACCGGCTCACACGCGTTCCCCAAGGCCTTCCAAACATGAAGTACCTACAGGTTAGCCTGAATAATTTTTTGTTTTTAACAGATTTAAAAAAAAAAAATGTTTAAAAATTTTAAAACACTGGCCTGTTCTAACTTATTGTCTTGCCCTGTTTTAAAGGTGGTGTACCTCCACTCCAACAACATCAGTCAGGTGGGCGTGGACGACTTCTGCCCCCGAGGGTTCGGGATGAAGAGGACATACTATAATGGCATCAGCCTGTTTGAAAACCCTGTGAACTACTGGGAGGTGCAGCCGGCAACATTTCGCTGCGTGAACGACCGGTTTGCCATTCAGTTCGGAAATTACAAAAAATAAAATCAAGGGAAATGCTTGGCAACACAAAGGATGAGGCTGAAGTGTTGAGGAAAAAAACAAATAGAAGAAACATAATATAAATAATGTCTAAAGAAAAAAACAAAAAAAAAAAACACTTGAGATGTCACGAAAGGAATCTATGTCTGAGATTATTGAGTTTAGAATTGTTACTTTTGTGGTGAAATCGAGTAATGGAGGAGATGGGTAATAAACATATGGAGTAGACAGCAAAGTGAAATACATAATCCCAGAACTTGAAGTAGGTGGAGTGCAGAATTTATGCAGAACTGCAACCGGCTTTGCATTTTCAGCTTGCAGTTTTGAACCTATTTCACGTCTAAGTCAGCGTGAAGAGTGCTGAAACCTTGTGAAACATTTCAGTGCATCAATCTTCACAATAGTTGTTATTGTGACTGAGGTTCTATTATCTTCTTTGGTGAGGAATATAAGTAAAACATTGAAAAAGCGTGCATTTTTGAATGTTTATATATATATATATATATATATATATATATATATATATATATATATATATATATATATAATATATATATATATATATATATATATATAGATATATATATATCTATATATATATATATCTATATATATATATATATATATATATATATATATATATATATCTATATATATATATATATATATATATATATATATAAAAGGTGCTCCATGTCCTCTGTGTGCTGATTTGTAAAAAAAACACAAACGAACAACAAAACCAGAATTTGCCCCCATCGCAGTTAATTCACTGATTTAATGTATTTTGGTCATAACCTCTGTGATTCTGACATATGAAGTTAGAGAGTCAGAGTAGTTTTACTCCATCTCAAAGAAACAGAGATAAAAAAATATATATATTTATAATTAGAAGGGAAATCTTTTTAAAGCACCTTACTGAAATATTTTATACAGATTTCTTACTGAATTCATTCTGTGCCTTTTATTAAATATAATCAGGGTCTATCCCACACTCAATAAATACATCCGCTTGCTTTAAGACAATGAAGGTAGTGTGTTCACAAAGTGCAAGAAACAGTAGTAATGATAAAGCATTGTTTTGCACAGATTTTCTTATACGCTTTATTTGCTTCAGGGTACAGTATGGAGGAGTGGGGGGTTGGGGCAGCGGGTGGAGGGTTTGGGGGGGAGTGGGCGGTGAGGTAGCATGTTTACAATGGTACCCCTATGTGCAACTACTTTAGCTATGAGTATTATGTCCTGTCTCTTTTCTGTAATCTGACAACCTACTGCTGCATGTGAATAAAGACATTTTTATCCTGCTGCATTCAGCGAGCAAACCCCCCAACAAACTGGTGGCCCTGGGTTGAATGGTGAGTCTGGAATAAAGAAGAAAGTAAAAAAAAGAAAAAGGAAAATACATCATGAATGAAATCAAACTTTGTAAAGTTCAATATTAAATATTAAGAAAAATGCTCCACATTTGAACACAGATGTGTAATATAGCTGCATTTTATGGTCTCTGGATATTCATTGGATACAGTCTTGACTTCTGAGGGCTGAATGCTATTTGAACGTTCTCACCAAACCACTGTGCACAATTGTGAACTGAATGAATAATAAAATGCTGAATTTAATTTAAGAAAAGGTTTACTTTATAGATTGTAGATTGCTCCTCCTTACTAAAATATTTGAAATAAAATCTCATGCAACCATGTTCTCAGAAGTCACCTAATTAGAGTCGACCTGTTATGTGAAGGCCTCAGAGGTTTGTGAAAGAACAAACAGTGTACCACAAGTATACAGAAATTTGAAGCATTTTCCACAGCTTTGATTATAAAAGCTACATATAATCCAATATTACGGCACAACCACAAAGCCTAGAACAGTGTTTCTTAATTCTGGTCCTCAGGCCCCCCTGCTCTGCATGTTTTAGACATGCCTCTATTCCAGAAAAGCTAATCCAATGATTGCATGACCTGTTCTGCAGCCATCAAGAACTGCAGATGGCTGTTCAGCAGTTCTTGATGCTGAACAGCATCAAGAACAGAAACAAGATATACCTTGTTTCTGTTAATCAACCACAGATTCAATCAGGGTGTGTGGCAGAAGGGGAACACCTAAAACATGCAAGGCAGGGGGGCCTGAGGACTAGAATCGAGAAATACTGGCCCAGCAGGACATAAACATCAACCTATGCTGACAGATCAGAGTTGTATCTGTCAGGGTCCTGCGTTGTTGAGTTGTTTCAGGGTTTGAAGCATTTATAATGTTTTTATTTCTGATTTCTTATTTTGATTAGATACGCCTTGTTTCTGTGTCACTTTAGTTAATCCGTTCTTAGTGATTCTAGTTAATTATGTTTATTTATTCCCTGTGTCTACTCATATACTACTCTTAGATACTTTTTTGTAATTCCCGTTGTGTACTCTCCCTCGCCCCTGTGCCATTTTTTGTGTCCCCTCAGAAATGCAATCTGCTACTCAATTAGCCTGGACTATTGTTCCAGTATTCACACTCCCAGTATTTAATCACCTCTCTCTCTTTCCTTTTTACTGATTTCTGCTGTTTAGTCCTGTTACTTCCCCGTTTCTGTTCTGCTCTGCCTCCCTGCGTTTCCATGTTTTTTTTCTTTTTGTTTTGTTTTTTGTAAGTTTGTTTTATTTTTTGGACTCTTTATTAAAGAAAAAAGTTTTCATCATACTCACCCAGACTCCAGCTTGCACTTTGGTCCTTCATTCACCCACAAATTATCACAGTACCAATACTCAAAGAGGCAGCCAAGAGGTCTGCGGTAACTCTGGAGGAGCTGCAGGGATGCAAACATCAGACACAATTTGTTAACATGACAAGTAATATATGTTTAATTCACTAATCTAGTCCTAGTCATTGAAGAAAAGTGAGCTCAAGATAATTTCTATCTATCTATCTATCTATCTATCTATCTATCTATCTATCTATCTATCTATCTATCTATCTATCTATCTATCTATCTATCTATCTATCTATCTATCTATCTATCTATCTATCTATCTATCTATCTATCTATCTATCTATCTATCTATCTATCTATCTATCTATCTATCTATCTATCTATCTATCTATCTATCTATCTATCTATCTATCTATCTATCTATCTAGCTCAGTGCGTCACCCTTTCATATTTAAATGTGGCGCTCAGTGCGTCACCGCGGTGCGCCTGAGCTCCATCAGACGCGTTAAGTTGAGGCAGAGGAGAGGGACGCTCGCCTGCACTGACAAGTGGACGGATGCGCGGTGATGCCCTTGCAAATGAAAGCGTCAGCAGCGGCCTCTGAACAGCAAAGGGCGAGATTTCGCCTCGGTGGAGAGACAAGGGGAAAGACGAGGGAGCTGCGCTTGTGAGCATAAAATCGGGGAGTCTGGCAGCGTGCTTGATGGCGGCGGCCTGCGGAGGAAGCCGGGGGTTGGATTTGACATGTCGCAGAGATGTACTGGTGAGTCCGCTGGAGCTGCAGAACATGGATGAATCCTGGATCGGTGTAACTAGTAATTTCAGGGAGGGTTATGGTGAGCTACTGGCGACCTAATATGGGGCTGCTGACTGAGAATGATCCTCACTGGCGTAGTTTGTCTACACAGGTTTAAGTATGAATGTCCACAAAGGCCAAGCGACCGATGCAAGTGGAGTAATCACCTGGATGCCTTACATATCCATTTTACTTTCAAAACATTTCAACATGAACCCAGTTTAACAAGCCATGATATGGCATTTTATTGTTTGCACTGACAGGGAGTCAGTCAACTGGACACACACGCCATGGAAATGTTTCAGCTGAAAATAATCCTTTCTATGTAAAGATCCAAATATGGCATTCGTTTGAAGCTGCTTTTTTATCAGCCAGCTTATTTTAGCTCCCAGACTTCACACAGACAGAAATGAGCTGCAGCACTACCTGTATCTTACTCCAAAAGTATTCATGCCTACTAATCACCACAAGTTCAACATGTTCAGCATTATTTATAACCCAAAATGGAGTATGATTGTGAGGTGGATGGGAAATTATGCATTTTAATTTATTTACAAATAACAACCTGGACGTTGGGTCATACAAAGAACTTATTAATTACAACACCTCTAATTAAGATCTTCCCAGCAGAAATGTTTAGAGTCATTTCTGCGGGAAGGTAAATCTCTGGCATAGACTTTTTCACCATCTAAACATGTTTCCTTAGTTATAGCTGAGCAACTTCCCTGTCCTCTCTGAAGAAAAGGTCTAAAACTGTTTAGCTTTAGCCTTTGACCAGGTCATCTTCTTTTATGTATACTGTACACCCAGCACGATTAAATGAGACTATCTTATGGCCATTCATCTTTAAAGAGTCGATTTATAGAGTGCATGACTAATATAGCCCGTCTAGAAATTCTTCCATCTAGCTACGGGTTTCTGTGGCTTCTACCAAAATACTGTGTCTCATATCAATGTCTCTAATTAGTGCTACTTTTGCCTTTAATGATTGTTTGAATGATACTCTGTGAGATGGTCAAGTCTTGGGATATTGTTTCATTACCTAATCCTACTTGAGCAAAACTTTTGTCCAATCTGCTTTAATCTTTGGTCTTCTCTGCAGTTCTTTTACAAACCTCTGGGGCCTCCTCTCATTGGGTGGCTCTTTGCCTTATATTTCACATTAATTCACTGCTTTGTGATGGCCTATCACTACCACTTTCTGGAAGCAGAATTTTAGTTATCAATATTGGCTCCATTGCAGAAGACACAGCTAATCCTGCAATTACCTATGTCTGAACCGGTTGATAATCAGCCCTCAATGTAAAAAAAAAAAAAAAAAAAAGGCTTTTAAAGTGAAAATGTTTCCCCAAAAAATGGAAATGTAAACAACACAATGCCAGCTGAAACAGAGCCTGCAATCAAAGAATCACTCATGTGAGACAACATGGATTGTTTGGGAAGATAAAGAATCAGCAGGTATCAAGCTTCATGTTTATGTTTGTGGTTGTTGTTCATTGACAGCACTTCTGGTTTCACAGTTCGTGGGCAATATTTTCCACTCCTTTCTCCCAGTATTTCGACGGTGTTGTGAAAAAGTACTCTGACTTTTCCTTATCCTCTGTGCTTTAAGAGTCATTGTTGAAACATGCTTTAATCTCCCTGACAGTGTACACAAACATAAGCCTTTTATTGAAATATCACATTTAGACTCATCCTTTTGACAATTATCTGATTTTATTGAACCTTCGTCAGACATTAAATTGTACTTGGTCTTGAATACATCTTCCGAGCATCAGAGGGTTTTTTGAATCTTTCTAAAGTAAGTCAACTACTTGGAACAGTTTCTGGACAGTTGATCCAGACTCTGCAGTTGGATGAGCTCACAGCATTTGCTGCCAGTTGAAGAGTTTGCATCTGTCACACAGAGCTGACAATCAAAAAGAGCTTGCAGAAAAATTGGGCCTATTTCTGCAGGATAGGGTAAAGTGTGGCCAACATAGTAACATTGAGTGAAGACTACTGAGCAGCACTGACGCAGAATTATTTGGCAGCTACCTTTGAAGTTAATACAGTCCTATCAGGTTTTTTTCCACTTCTTTGTTTTGTTTTTTATGAAAGGTGCCTAAAAGCCCTGAAAGTTAGTGAGAGCTCCTTTTTGAGGTGTGATTTCTCTTCTTTGAAAACAAGTTTGCTATATGAAAACCAGAAAGTGTTTTTATAATAACTTGACACTTTTAACTTGTTGAATTACAACAGAAAAGGACACTATATTGACATATTTCCAACACTGAACCTTGACTACAGAATACTGGCTACAGAAATTTGACAAATTCTATAAAACTCTAAAATTCTAAAACTGCATCAAGTGTCTGACAGTCTGCGGGTTTAATTTCCCTACAGCCAGTGTCTATAGTGTCAAGGAGGGATATCTTGTTGTAGGGCTGGTGATTATGGATTTTTAACCTCCATACTACAGCATGAATAAAAAGGGCTACCATTTTTGGTTCAAATAGCAAAGCTACAAGCTTGTTCCAAGTGATCACAAATGTGTTAATGTTTACATCAACCTGATCTCTCTCTGCCTTTGGTACCAGATGGAGCTAGATATACTTACTATATTGAGAGTATTGAGAATTTTGAAAATGTGATTTACAAAATAGACCAATCCATATTAGCTGATGGCCTTTTTTTGTTATTTTCTTACAGTGTTATCTGTAGCCAGAAGGTGATGGCAGTGCCGGCAGAGCTTCACCTCTACCTCTACCCCTTCCACCTGATCGATGTCTGCTTCCTGCACAAAGACATCATTTAAAATCTGGACTGCCTTCGTTCCTTCCTCTCCTTCTGTCTCTCCTCACTCATTTCATATCACTCCCTCCGCCCTCTCCATCCAGCTGCTTTTTGCCTTTCCCTCGGTCTCTCCTCTCGCCATAACATCTACCTCCTCAACCTGGAACTTCTCTGCAAAGTCTTCTTCTTTGTGATGGCTTGCTTTGGACGCTCTCTGGACTCACCGTGCACACTAGCCTTGTTGGTAGGCTTTCAGTTTGCCTTTGTGCTCTATTTCTCCCTTGGCGGCTTTAGAGGTCTGGTGTCTGTTCTGGTGCACACCACAGAACCAGAATTTGATTACTCTCGACCTCATGACGTTTACACCAACCTCAGTCTCCTTGGGGTACCACCGCCCCCTCCTCGGAACTCTGGCACTGGGCTTCCTGCTTCAGGGCAACCGCTGAAAGACTGCCCGATTCCTTCCCCTCTGTTGGGTGAGAGAGAGAAGTGTTAAATAAAATCTGGTAGCCATAGAACATGGTGACATAGTGAAAGATGTTGCTTAATTCCCCCTCCCCCACCCCTTTCTCTGTTCTCCAGTTGGACCAGTGTCTGTCCATCTTTCCTCCCCTATGTCTCTGGAGGACATCCGACAGAGGAACCCTTTAGTGTTACCTGGTGGACGGTACCGGCCTCCGGACTGCGAACCCCACCACCACACAGCAATAGTGGTGCCGTTCCGAAATCGCATAAGCCACCTACGCTCTCTTCTGTACCACCTGCACCCTTTCCTGCAAAGACAGCAGATACACTACAGCATCTACATTGTACAACAGGTCAAGTGATGTGTTTTCATCTGTTTTTGGGTATCTTGCTATTTAAGGATAATATGTATGTAGCTGTGGAAAGTTTACATTTTCTCTCCCCTTGAGGAAAACCAATATGCATGAAAAATGCATAATGCTTCATTGAAATCAACAACAAAGTTTGACATTTTTGACAAAACGACAAATACAAGTGTCTTTCAAGTCAAATTAAAAACTAATTTCTACAAGATAATAGCAAGATAATAGCAAAATAAAAATAATGGCACTTGCTGCAGCTGTACTAATGACAAAGAAACAAGCTAACAGTACAGGAAACTGTTTATCCACCATCATTGGTAGCCATGTTTACTAGCCTGCACATTCACTGCAGGCACTGCTGTGGAGGAAGAGCTGCACCATGCAGCAAGGAGAAGAGTGTGTGCAGTGTGTGGACGAGCGAGATTGATAGTGCAAAGACCATCCGTCTGACTCTAATTGATTATTTCTAAACAATAGCGATGTATTTCTGCAGATGGCAGCAGGACCACAGGGGGAAGGCAGAGTAGCTAAATTTTTTTTCAGCAGATTATTCATCTGTCAATATATAGTGACAGATTAAGAAATATGTTAAAAAACATATTTTTTATTAAAGTTATTTACTGCAGCTTTGAAGGTTGTTATGAAGACTCAAGATGCGCCTCTGCTTCACCTTTTGTTTTTCCGTTGTCATCTTTGACACACTTCAGTGACTTTTGTGACTTTGGCTGAGATCAGTGACTTTATAATAGTCATTCCTGAATTAACATAGTCAACATGTGTCTGTCTTACCCATTCTAAAGATTAATTAAGAGAAATGAGCCACAATGTCATGAATATTCATAACACAACAAAGTATATCAAATCAAGACATGCTGATCAACTTACAAAAATAAATATTAAGCAGTTAAAGAAAGTTATTTCTCCTTCTTCTTCTTATTCTTCTTATTCTTATTTGTTCCTCCAATTTTAAGATTTTACTCTGATTTTGTTTTTGGCGTCAGTGGGGGAATGGCACCTTTAACCGAGCCAAGCTGCTGAATGTAGGCGTGCGGGAGGCTCTCAAAGATGAGGACTGGAGCTGCATTTTCCTTCACGATGTCGACCTGCTGCCAGAGAACGACCACAACACTTACACCTGCCACAAGCAGTTTCCCACACACCTGTCGGTGGCCATGGACAAGTTTAGATACAGGTAGAAGAGCATTGTGAATGAGTGTGTGAACTTCATTGTCACATTGCAATGACTCAGTGGTATGTGACCCTCTTAGGCTGCCGTACCCACAGTATTTCGGTGGTGTATCTGCGGTGACCCCAGATCAGTATATGAAGATGAATGGCTTCCCAAACCAATACTGGGGTTGGGGGGGAGAGGATGATGACATCGCTGCCAGGTGAAGCTCACTGTTGAAGCAAACGGCGCATGTTTGCATAAGGAGTTGTGAGTTCAGGCTAAGAATAGAGAATTCATAAGCATTTCTGTCCTTATTTTGCATTTCATTTTTGCTTTCCTTTACTCAGTCATATTTTTTTGTTGATTTTCACCATTTATTTCACTGCGGCATATTTATACTTTTTCTTGTGTGTACTAACATCATTTTTCATCTTCACGTCTTTTCATTGCTGCCACTTTTCTTTGTGTCACTTGGAGTGTTCTCAGTGGGTATGTTTGCATGGACTAGATCTGCTTGGGGTAATTTAGAGTTTACAATAAGTATTTATTTGTTCTGTTTCTTTCATAGGATCCCCCATCTCCACTCTCTTGCTTCTTTTATCTTTGCTGTGTGTCATAGCAAGCAATGAATGCAAGGCAGACTCCCCCAATTCGTATCTCCCAAAAAATTATGCAATATTTTGAGCTTAATTAGAAAAGCACTCTAATTTATGTGTATTTAAAACTGGTAAAATATTACCAGTTGGTTATATTTCAGCTGACTTCAATAACTGGAGTTGTATGCAAGCAAGAGATGGATAAAGGGATTACCGATACAACTGTTTCCAAACATATTTTTTTGTTAGCTTTATTTTTTCCGTTTTTAGGAGAAGAAAAATTTAGCTTTGTCATTGGACGTCATATTAGTTATGCTGTAATATGTTTTCCTTCAATTTTATGACTGAATCTGTTGTCACTGTTTGCTCCTGTTATTTGCTGCCAATCCAGAGTGCGGTTGTCTGGTATGAAGATTGTGCGCCCTCCAGTGGCCATTGGCCATTACAAGATGATCAAGCATAAAGGAGACAAAGGCAATGAGCAAAATCCACGCAGGTACTTAACAGATAAAACTGGCACACAATTTATACATATTGTTTATATACATTGAACCTTATTTTCAAAGAATGTAATAATAAAAGCAGTTGTTTGTTTAATAAGAATGAAAATAATAAACTGTCTTTAATAACGATACATTCCGATGAAATACATTGTCGTAGAGCCAGAGAGCCACAATCCTTTCAGTTGAATTTCTCATCAAAGCTTTGTGACCTTTTGTGAGAAAAGGACAAGTTAAAAAGATTTTTTTTTTACAAAAAACAAACAAACAAAGAGTTGTGTGACAGATCTGCAGTAAAAACTTTGTCAGTAATCATTTCAGAACCATGACTTTTTGTGAGTGTTACATTTTGGAATATTGACTGGACAGAGAAAACACAAATTGTGGGCTGAGAGGAAACAGTGTGGTTGCTGAAAATGCTAAACGGATCATTATGCGTATTTTTAAAAGCGACAAACAAACTTCAGGGTTAAGGTTACATTTTATAACAGTCAAAGCAGAAAACGTATGAAGTATGAAATTGCAAACAACAAAAAAAGAAGGAAGTCTCGCTGAAGAAAACATGAACATGATTGCCAGGAAAAGTTGTTAAAACTAGATTCAGAAACCACAGAGTACAAAAACCCGAGGTGCTGTGTGTCATTCTAGATTCGACCTCCTGAAAAAGACCAGACTCAACTGGCACTCTGACGGCCTCAACTCTTTGACTTATGAGCTGCTTTCCAAGGAGTTGGAGCCGCTCTACACCAACCTGACCGTCAACATTGGAGAGGACCCACGGTTGACCCAGGGTAAACCTCACGGTGCTGTGAAAGCAACGCCTGTCCATTCACATAGCTCCAGCAAGGACAAAGGATCGGATAAACAAGTGAAAAGTCTAGAAGAAGCAGTGGCAAAAAATAGCACTTTGGCCAAGCCGTCTGGCCAAAAGACAGGACTCATCCTGTCAAAGACAGCAAATCAAACTACACAGGAAAAGAGAGGAGTGATGAAATAAGAGGTAATATTAAGTAATAATCTTGCACTTGTAGCATAAAGTGGTCATCATTTTTGATCTTCAACAAAATGATGGAAGCCAGCATTGATTTGCTGTATTGAGGGTAGTTAAGCACTGGATCACAAACACACAGCCTGTTTCATTTACAGATGTGGATGCAGGGCTACTGAAGCCGTTTCGTTGGGTTATGGTCTGCTGAATGTGGTGCTGACTGTATTGACTGTCAAATAAACCTCTGAGACCAGAAGTAGAAAGATTAAAAAAAAAAACAAAAGAAGAAAATCTCAATTGCATCTTTGTAAAGATCCAAAACGCTAGCTGAAAACGAGACGCCGACATCTGTAGATCTCTACAGACTGGAACTGCAAGTTGCAGGCAACACACCTGCAGAGCGGCATCTTCAATCAATCTGCACCTCTGATTCCCTCCTACTAGAAAAAAAACTACAAAAAAAAAAAACTGCTGTCTGTCCACCTCGCTTCACGGAGGGGTTTGTGTTTCTGTGCCTTCTCTCTTTTATGCGCATTTTATAGACTGATAGGAATGCTTTTAGGGGCTAAGCTAGCATAGGTTTGGCTTCTCCTGCCAGTTGGGAGGATAAAGCTGATTCTGGACCAGAACAAGGCCCTTGTTCAAGGACTGCTGTTTTTATATATTTGCTTGCATTGATGAATCACTGACCAACTCCATAGTTCTTGAAATATCCTAGAGTTTATATTTATATATCCATATATAGAGAGACATCTTTATTTGTGTACTCCTTTAGTTTAATGTCCTTCTTTGCAGTCTGGTGCCTCTCTCTCTATGAAGTTTAGTTTAGAGACAATCAAATTTTATGGGAGTGTAAGCTGTATTCAAACCCATAACGAAAATGACGTGGCATGATAATTGTTGTGTCTAGTTTGACTATATTCTTGATACGCAGATAGATTTGTGCTTCTGATATTACTTTTTTTTGTTTATTTAAATTGTTTCTTTTTAGATTAGTCAAGTGTGAGATTAAGGAGAAAACTCACAGACGGTGACATAAGGCACACAAGAAAAATGTCAAGCTAGTGTTCTAGTATCTATAGTGGTTATGGTGACAACAAAGCACTGTGCGTAGATATAGCTACGAACAAATGTTTGCCTTTTTCTGTCTGTCTTTATTTGCTATGGTGAAGCTTTAGTGACTTAAGCAAGAGGAAAATGTTTCTAATCCAAAATCATTTTTCTTTATGTCAAGCTCGAGGTTTGTTTGATCAGGAGATGCATGCAGGTTATCATCCACTTGTAAAAGCTAGCAGCAGCTATATTTTGTTGTAAAATATCAGCCATTCTGAATGTACTTTTTAGTGTTCATTTTGGTTTATGTTTTGTAAGGAGAGTTTAGTTCCAGTGCCTTGCTGAAGTATCGATACACCTGAAACCTTTTTTCACATTTTGACACATTGTGACCATCAACTTCAGGGTATTGGGATTTTATGTCAGAGAGACACAATCACAGTGCATAGGTGTAAAGAGGAAGAAAATAGTTATTTTATTATTTTGCAAAATGAAAGGAACATCTGTAGTCAAAACTTCATAGATGAACCTGTTGTTGCTATATCAGCTCCCAGTCTTTTGCAGAAATTCAGATTGGATGGACATTGTCGGTGAACATTGATTTTGAGTTCTTGAAAATAAGAATCTTAATTGAATTTAACTCTGAACTTTGACTGGTCCATCCTAGCACATTTCAGATTCTTTGACTACCTTGTTTGCTACTACTAACGTTAGCAAGTTCAGTACTTGCTAACGTACTCCAGCTTCCTTCGATGCACATCGTAAGTGTATGTTTAGTATGTAAGATGCCAAAGCTCACACAAAATGGTGTGGAAACTTTTATAAGGAGAGAAAAGAAAAAAAAATCAAGTTGATGTTTATTTATCTATGTCCTCATTGCAATACTGAACGGCCATATGACAATTACATCTTTTTATAATATTGTTCACCTTGATTATGTAGACAATGTTTTATAACGTTTATATGCCATATTCCCCAACAAACATCTGATACCTTCACAAACTAGCTACATTTATGCAAAAGCTGGATTAAACTCAGATTGACATTTTCACTTAATGGGTGTCAGCGTAAGGATGGCTGGACAAATGGTGGCACACTTCTCACATGTATATTGCCATAAAAAACACAAAAAAACCTCCCCATTTCTCAACTATGCACTGCTTTGTGTTGGTTTGTAAGATGAAATGAATTGAGGTGTCTGACTGAAATGTGACAAAATATGAAACGGTTCAACTTGTATGGGTGCTTTTGCATGGCTCTTTACCTTAATGGACTTAAATCTTATCACTTGTTGGCAATATGATTTCTTGCTGCTATCTCAATCTGTAAAAGTGAATCTAGCGTCAAATGAAGTACTGTATCTGCTGGTGTGGGATTTTGTTATCGTACTAACAGGTGACGAATGAGTTAGTCTGAACTGAATGTATTCCATTTCTTAAACTATTTATTGTCACTGATGGCACTAAACATGTTGACTTCGAAGGTGAACCTAGAAAGTGTTTTCCACAGCAGATTAGATAGATGTCCCTTTTTACAGCTGTCACCTTTCTCTGCATTTATTTTGTTAACTGTGTGCCTCATAAAATCATTGAAAAAGCCCCATAATGACTGAGGGACGGGACGTGCACTGCACAGTGAGACGTGAGCACCCTCATGTGGCGCAGACTGGCGAGAAATACCAGATGCTGAATGAAACTGCAGCGTTGTGACGAGAATGTTAATCATCAACGTTTGCCATTCACAGGCTTTGAGCCAATCAAATCCCTGCATTTCCCTGACAGGTTTTTTTTTTATATATATTTTTTTTATTCACGCAGTATCACATGACTTTCCCGTCAGCTTAAAGGAGAAGAGCCTCAGAATTGTACTCACCAGTGGAATCATAAACTACATGGTGGAAAGAGTTTTATGAATGGATACTATTTTAAAGAAACAATCCATGCTAAATATGAAGTATTGTAATAAAATATAGATTCAAGAGACAAATCGGATTAATTAAAGACAAGAATTTATGCCATACTACTGTTTAATGAATGAAGGATGATCTTTAAGTAATTAAATACCTTGGGAAAAATGTTTTATTATACATAATCATATTAACGTGAAAGCTTTTAAAGAAATATAATCCCAGCAAATTAATCAGCAAACTGTGTGCTTAATGTGAGATTGTTATATATTTATTGAATACATTAGTTTTTATAAGGAATTTTTCAAAAGCATTGGACTCATATAATACAGAAATTTATGCATGATCATTAAGATGAATTGGAATTTTTTTTTAATTTTATTACGCTTTTTGATCATTCAATTTATGTGTTTTTATGAAGGATAAAAAAGAACGGCTGACTATATAGTTGAGTTATTCATGCGTTCATTAAAAAAGAACACTTATTACACGAACACTGGGGATGGTCTTAAATTATTTAATCTTTTTTTTAGGTTGCCTTATTTACTGACCATATCTTGAAGAGAACAAATGTCATTTTTTGTGCGTTTGTGCGATGTTATAGCTGAAAAGGCAACAGGATAAAGAAAAATGTGTGGGCTTCGTTGTGACAGAAAGCTAATAAACTAACCAGTAAAACACAATCAAAAGACACGTCTCCCTTCATTCCTCTTTTGTTAATATTCACAGACCAACCTAAATGTGAAACATTAACAGCATAACAAAAATGCACGACGGCTTAGGCCGATCCAATTCCTAAAATACACGGAGCATCTTAGTGAATGTGGCTTAGCATTCAGCTGAAACGCTGCAGAGATCAGATGTTCATACCAGTCTGATAGATTAGCAATCATGCAGCAGGAGAACCACATGCTCCAGAGCGATTCAACTGCACAGACCTGTTACATCACACTGTGTATTGCTGGCCTCGATGTTCCATGTGGGCATAAAGAGCTGGATTAAAAACTTGGATATGAGCTCTTCCCTATAAATAGATAGTACAACCCCCCAACCCCCCTCCAGCTCTGTGTGTTCGATCTGTTTCATAATCTAAAATGCTGCATGACTCACCGAGAGAGGGCAAAACTTACGAAATGGGCAAACCGATACAGCATATTATATCCTATCCAAACAAAGACATAAACAAAGTACTCAGACACATAGAAGGTGCTGATATGATATGGTTTGGATGACAGAATTTATTTACACCATCCATTACTAGAAGTTGCATGTAATAGTCAATTCAGGATGCTATTTTGGTAAGTTATCACCTGAAATTCCTGATAAACTCTTAAGTAAATAGAGATGTATTTATAGGGTGCATTTAAAATATAAGTTTCAAAGCTCTTTTAATCCAGCACAACAGAAAGCAAAGTAGACGCCTAAACAAGTTTTCATGTGTGATTTCAAACACATACTCAACTATCATACTTTTCAGGCACAGATTGTTCCATTACTTTAGACCTGCGGTTTTACCTCACATGTGGTTTCAGTGTTGGTCAAAGAGAACCAGTATCAGAACACTGTGAGGAACATTATCGGGTCAGCAGTGTAAGTGGAAGCCAACATATCGTTTTTATGACCAAATGAATTATTTTCTTCCTGAATCCTGAACTTGACCAGCAACTGGGGATATAAGCATGGAATGGTGCCTCATATTTTCAAATTAATATCTCAGCTAGATTAAAGCAAATATTATTATTACCGTAACTATGCTGATGTTACACAGCTCTGCATTATAATGCCACCAGGTGATTCCAAGGCCATCTGTGCTCTGAATAGATGCTGAGAACAAATCATTGTGTGGATGTGCCGCAAGTTTCTTCAGCTGAACAAAAACAGATAATGGGTTATCTGGACTAAGATAGAAATTATCTATGGTCACTCAACTTCAGTCATTACAGCTAAAAACTACAGATCAGAGCTAAAATCTGGGTGCTATCATGAACCCAGATCTAGACATTCTGAGACACATAAAGACAAATACGGAGTCAGCCTTCTAATCACCTGAAGTCTTTATACAATTCAAGTACCAGTTTCTAACAAGATTGAGAGAAAGTCATCCATGCATTTATCTTTAGTCAAATTGATTATTGCAACAGTGGCTTCACATGTCTGGCTAAGTCAAGCAGAGAGATGGAGTAGATCCAGAAAGCTGCTATACAGATGGCTATAAAAATATTAGGAAGACATTGAAAAATTGTTGACCAGTATGTTCATATGCTGTAATACATAATTATCACTGGCCTGATGAAAATACAGCATAATGAAAAAAAAAAAACAAAACAAAAAACAGAAACAGTTGCTGTTATGTAAAACCTTTAGTATTCAAAGTGATTGTGTAATCTGATGTTATGAGTCTTTACAGAGTCAAAATATCTTTTGAGGTCATCGCATCTGTGTTTTCTGTGAGGCTGCGATGACAACAACAACTGGCAAGTTTGCACTTACTCCTCCGTAAACTGGCACACTGGCATGCTGAAGTGACTGGGGTGGACTAATGTATGGTGGAGGGCTGAGGCAGCCTTTAGTCACTCCTATGGCCTAAAACATGTGTCTGACCTCTTTCCCATAGGGTTGTTTATCCTCAGCACAAACACAACATTCCCTCAACAAAACATGAACTCTTAAACACATTCAGCATCCCACAAGAATTTTGTCAAATTCCCCATATGCAACATTGCAGTGGTTTTAATTACTATGAACTGTGCTTTTGTGTTTTTTTTTTTACTTCAGGAACTCAAATGAAATATCTAAAGTGTTAAACCAATCTTTCAGTTTTCTCATTTGCTTCCTTAAAAATGTTCCCACAGAACTATTTTAGTTTTATCAGACCACATGACATGTATAAAAAGAACAACACAGAACTTGCAGACTGCAATTTAACTCATTGTGTTTTAGAAAAAGTTCTTCTTCCTTCTGAGTGGCCTTTAAGTTTGTGTTGGTAGAGGATTTGTTTCACTGTGGACACTATCACTCTAGCAGTTCACCTGTTTTTTTGTTTTAATTATTGTTAATAATCACGGCCTCCAACTTCAAGTATCCAAATCCAAAGACTGCTTTCATAGAAAGTCTTTATTGTAATTTTTACAAATCCATTCAGATTCTTTCAGAAATTTGACTCTAAAAATCACTGCAGCAATGCAGAAGTATTCATATGACATTGACAAATGTATATTATTTTCACAGTGATCAACAACACAAGGGGAAGAAAACAGGTGCAGTGTTTTCAAATAAAATAAAATAAAAATTCCAGTGACATGGCCTTTTCACTTCAATCTAAAATACCCAAGTAAAATCCAGTACATTAAAAAGGCTTGGTATTACTGGTAAGTAAAACCAAACCAAATATTTCTTTGGTTTTTATGCAAGCATCTAACAGTTCCTCTCTGTGAAAACATGTGGCTTTGTCTCAGAAATAGTATTGAACGTTGAAATAAATGTCATGTTGACAAAAAGAAAACTGTCAGGAGAAAGATTATTGTTATGCTATGTTGCTATTTTAGCAGATTTCACTAAAACGGATCATTATGATAAATCTGCCGTGCCAGTAGGCTGCAACATTTAGTTATATAACCACACTGAATTGTCTTCTTTGAAAATTCACACGTTGTTGGTTCTGAAAATAAGAGAAATGAGAGGTTAACATCAAGATCTCGAGGCAGACTGAATAATGAGCAGAAAATGGGATCACCCATCAGGCTTGGATCCTTTTTGTCTCCCTGTCCTATGGCTGCTCAGCTGCTTCAGTCATCCATATTTGCCTCAGTGGACAATTTCCTCAGCCGCAGGCCCGTTCAGTGCTCTCAACAACACATCAAGTGAATTATTTTGCCACAGTGGCAGCGCACGGGAGATCTAGGTCATGCAGTCATTGCTCTGGGTTTCTTTCTTTCTTTTTTCTCCTGCGGCCACCTAAAGACATGTCAACATCCACTCATCTCATCCGGCTCCCACTAAACCTGACCTTGACATTGCCAGGTGATTTTCCAGTGAGCATTTGCACGATCCTGTTCGAATGTTTGTGTTTTGGAGGTGCATGCCTGTAAGCCTTCCAAGCAGGGCTTTTGTTTGTTGGAAACTCAGGTATGACGAGGGTTTTAATGAAAACAAACGATTCGCTGTCCACACTTGGGGCTCGCCTGCAGCTATGTGTGTATGAAAGAGGAGGGCAGAGCAGCACTGGAAAAGGATGTGGGAGGTTGAGCAGACTGAGAGGATAACACAGGAGGGAGCAGGGTGAGAAAGGGAGAAGAAGCGGAGGGGCGGAGGAGGGATGGATGCAGTGAGGGGCGCTGTGACGCACGCTTGTCGGCTTGTGCTGGGCCACTGATTGGCTGCAGCGGCTGCTTGTCTGTGGATCTGGGATTCAGGCGCTGCTAGGAGAGCAGATTATGAAGCGGTGCTCGTCCAGCAGCAGTCTCCTCTCATTGTCTCGATGGCTGCACACGCACTCCTCATCTGCTCCCTCGCCTTGCTGTCTGCCCTCAGCCGGCCTGGGCTGACCTTCACTGAAGAAGAATTCCAGCCGGGACTCCTCTATGACGAAGTGCCTCTGATCCTGGATAGAAGGTGAGTCCATCCTCGCTCTCTATGGCTGTGAAGCAGCGGAGGGGTGCAGGGGGGGATTGTTAGGGGGGAGGGGTACTGGAGATGCACGCAGGGATGCTGGGATGCTGATGTGTGCGTCTTCTCTAAGAGGGCTTTGTGCCACCCTCGCCTTCCTTAGTTACAGCTCACCTTGGACGCATCTCAGATTGTGAATTCAATCATTCAAGCTGTGTTGGTATGTGTTGGAGAACGCTAGGCTTCAAGGCTTTGTTTGTTTCAGTGTATGGGACCGCATCAGATGGTGCTCATCAATCTCAGATGGGGCTGTTGTCTCTGTACAGTAATGCTGGTCTGGCAAGAAGGCTTGGGTAGCGGGTCTTAAAATCTAGAGAAGCGGAGAAAGAGGCTGATGGAGGATAACGGAGACGATGCATCTTTTGGGGGTGTGCTTAACGATGCAGACATTGGGAAGGAATTCTAGTTCTTTAATTTACATGTCGCCTTGGAGGTCTGATCTAGATCGAAGATGCAGGACTCACAGGACTGTCACAAGACATTCAGGGCCTTTACCACTGCTCTCCTGTTTGCTTATATGGACAACACAGCAAAGAGCCATCAAACTGTGCCAAAGCCATGAAAGGCTCTTGAAATCATGCCATGCATGACAGCTCTCACAGTCCTCTGATTCTAACCCACAACAAGCTGCCTCCCCTGCTCTCATTTATTACACAATTAAATCTTCAACAACTTTTTTGCAATTCCAGGTCACCAGAAATGAGAATCAGTTTCCTTGCTGTCATGGATATAGTTTTATTCCATGTTAATTAAAGCTTTTATTAAATCCAGATTGACCGCTTTTACAACTTTTTACCACAGTTTATCAGAAAGAGAGAGAGAGAGAAAAGATTATT